TGTTCTCTGCACGTAATAAGCTCGTTTATTAAGCATCCTTTTTTGGGGATGCCCAGTGGCCAAGGGGAAGACGTGTAGTGGTGTAAATCTAGGAGATTAGATGTCGTACACGAGCGCCGGTTCGAGTCACACACGCAGTACGTGTTTACTATAATTTGACATAGTATTTACCTTGCCGTTTATTCGGTATTATTTGCTTACTTTACTTCCAACAGCAACTATGAGTTTAATATTTTAATGATTCAGTACACAACAAATCGCAATTTGGGATGTCTACATGTATGCATTTCTATTAGAGATGTTTTTCCTAATTGAGCAAATATGAATGAAATATGCATGAAAATATATATATATTTTTTTTTCAATTTAGTATAAAAATTTGTAGAAAGTGTTAATTTCACCGTTTCTGAAATAATATGGAAATTTCTGTTTTCGGTAAAAAAGTCTCATTCACTCAACAATAGCTGCAATGGTTCGTAATCTGATTAGTGAAGATTATACTATTATCTATTTTCCACATAGAATAACACAATGTATACCGTGACATACATTCATTCCGACAGTATGATTAAAGCAACACAGAACACTTTGGGTTAAAGTGCAAAGAACACAGAACAATGTGAATCAAATTTCAAAAACGATTAATTCATGAGACATGTGGGACGATTGAGGTGTATCTACACTTTGGTGTCTTTTTACAAAATGTAGGCACCACTAATTCCTCATTGACATTCAGTCTCCACACTTCATCATAATATCAAAGCTGCATCTTTCAGTCAGGCAGGCTCCAAGTCTCTGAAATCTTAAGTGATCAAGATGTCTATCCTTCAACTACCGGTAACAAGTAGAATACATTAAATGCAAAAGTAAATGGCAAAAGTAAATGGCAAAAGTAAATGCCAACAGTCATCCAGGCGACCACAACCTTCAATATTGACATTCAGGGTACCGGTAATATCTCAACAGAAAGATATTGTACTGATGAAGGGTCAATGCCTAAAATGTCTGGTTACAATGTATATTGAATAATTCCCAAGGACTATGTGATTATCTACTAACATTTTCTATATGTTATATAGTTGTGGTTTTCAGTCCTTATGAGTGCTCTTCTGATGGTTTAAAATTGTCTCTGACACACTGGCAGAGTGAAGGTCAAACTTAACACAAGTTAACACAAAATTACAGTCTTCTTAGGTTCACTGTTTGAAACAAATAATACATGTATATTGGTATACATGATCTACAGGCAAACCATCGAACATAAAATCACAATGCAATCACAAATCATGAATACATCACTATTGAATTTATGTTGGTGCCTTTAATAACATTCAAGCTAATTTTGCAGTACTTGATTTGAGTTTAAATCGTAATTGTTGAGAATGAGGAATCCCTGCCAAGTTGTTTTTTCAACTGATTGCACATTAAGTCACTGACTGACAGTTCATTACTGTATCAAGCTAAAATGTCATTTATGATTTCCTGTCTCTTCAGCAAGTAAATCAATTCATACTTCCTTAATTTCTTCCATTACTTCCGACAATTTCTTCATCTTATGGGCCAGGAATTTTCCGCATGATGTCTGCAGTTATTTTTATGACTGAAATTTCCTTAATTAATTTTTAAATCTGGAAAACACATTATTTATTTATATTTTGAATAATTCATCATGGCAGATTGGCAGATTGAGTATTGTCAATTTTATTGCAACAAATTTGCTACAGAAGTAGTGTAATTAATTATTACATGTGTCACATCATTTGGGAGTTTGTTATTGTAGTCAAATAATGTTTTAATACACCATACATTAAATTTGTCAATTACTTTACTTTTATGATTTTGCTATAACAAGGTAAAAACCGAGTCGTTTTGAATTATTGAAATAAAGAATTAGGTAATAATTAATTTGATCTTTAGTTGAGTCAGCTGAATTTATTATTGACAGAAAAACGTTTTAAGCATAATTCATTAATATGTAAATGTCAAAATCACTTAGGCAACAATTTATACATGTATGAACAACCAGATATACAAATTACAGAAAAATTATATAAAGAAGTTTCTCTCGCTTACTTACTTATTTTCATCTATTTGTCAAATTGGTTAAAAAAACACCCAGCTAGATATACATGTATGCTTTCAGAATTGCAATTAAGAAAGTGATGAGAATTTATTTTTTCTCATTTATTAGAAATTGAGTAGGCAGGTAAACTGACTGTGTGGTTCCACTGTGCAATACCAGAGTCAGTTCACTGATAAGCTAAAGTTCAAAATGCTATTTAGCCATCTTGTGCCTTCTAATAAAACCACAGCAAGTCAAAAATAGTTCCTCAAATTGTGTGCCAGGACTCATTCCTGTGAAATTTTATGTCAAGTGGATCATATTACATACACCCAAGACTGTCTTTTTCTCAGACCTAGTGTTTTAAAAAATACAAAATCTTGATATGAATTTGAAGTCATTTGTCAAACAAACAACTTGCATTTCATATGAAAGCAGTGAATATACAGGTACTGTAAAATACTTAATTTTCGCTTGTAATTTATTCTTGCTATTTTTGCTGAAGGGATGATTCTATAAAAATAAAATTCAGCAAAAATACCTATGTTTACATTCAACTCAAAGATCATTGAAAATAAACTCCATACAAAACACCAAACAAGTTTTTCCAGCAAAAAGTATTATAGTACAGTAGAAGAAACAAATAACAATTTAAAATTAAAACGTATAGTAAACTAGATCAGGTTTACAAATTGAGTTTCTCATGGACACACAAAAGTTGTCAAGTTAGTTATAAACATGACGTATGTTATAAGAATTTCAACTGTTTACTGCAATAGTTTTTTTTTTGTGTTGACTTTCTTCCACTGACAACTATACCAAGGTGTTTTGGTGAAAAGCTCTCTCAAACCCATTATGAGAGTATGTATATAGGATAGCCATGGTGTGTGCAGAGAAACTGAGATACTTTTATGAACACCTATATTAGATTGTGTTGAGGAATTTAGTTTATTCTGCAATCAAAGAAAGAAAACCATATCACAAACAGAACTTGCTGGCCTTACCAAACAAAACAGTAATTTTGCCATTTGTGCTTCCCCACTGATATATATGTTGTTATATACTGTAGATTACTTTAATTTTACAAGAGAATAATTGCAAAATTTTGAAACAGTGAAAATGTCTCTGGAGCCTCACAATATGGAGAGGTGTGACTGCCATTATAATTCTGAAAACAGTTGATGGTATACAGTTTGAGTTATACATAGTCCTGAATATATGGAATATGTGCGTATGTTGAAAGCGTAGTGTTTTACTGAGAGGTTCTCTATACTTTCCAAATTATGTGAATATGCAAACACAATTCAGGGGTTTCACAAATTTCACAGGCCATCATCCTGTAACAACAGGTCGAACTATAAATGAAAAGGCTCTCTACAGTGTGAAGCACTGCAAAGAGACCAGCGTAGGCAGTCACGGGACAGAGAAAATACAGCCAATTTGGGCTTGTAGCAGGCCATATGGCCGGAATCCAGCTCTTAATGAAACCCCTGCAATTATGCTATAACTTCAACGACATTATTCACTTTTAAATGAACATGGTCCAGTTATAATTATTTGTGGTGGAAAGTATTCAAGACAAAAATTTAGAGAAACATGTAGACCTGCGTTGTCATTTACTTGTGTCCAGATCAACACAGCACTATATGAAGTGCTAAGAAGACGGTACAGTGTGAAAAGTTAGAGTCGTGCAACCCAATGGTAAACAAAATAAAAGTGAACAGACGAATGCTTTCATAAATAAACATTGCGAATTGGCATGATTGTATCACACCTTGTGATAGACAGAAAATAGCAAACTGCTGTGTTGGGATCTGTTCGGCGAATTATCACAATGCCTGACCAAATCAAGATTTCAAAAAAACGAGTATCATATCTGATTATCCAGACAGTAAACAGCCTGTTGACATGACCGATGTGTCGCGATTTACATATGTCAACAGCTTATCAAAATATGACAGGGAACTCGGCTCAAGTTCAATCTGGTCAGTGTTGTCGCCGTGTTGAAAACTTTTACCTTGTCATTGAAGACGAAATTTGATTCCACTTTGGTGCAAAACAACAACAAAACGGTTACAAAACACCAAGTTGTCCCAGGGAAACAAGGCTACTAGTCTAGCTTCTAGCTCCGGGGAACGATCGAATGTGACACCGACACGGACAAAGTACGAGCGGTAAAGCGAAAAGTAACTGGCATCAAACACATAACTTACTAGGTTTGGATTTCAATTTCGATACAATCCTTTGTACAGCACTCAGATCTTCATTTTTAACAGCTTGTAGGAGTTCCTGTTCTTTACCCATGACTGGAAATCAAAACAACCCGAATCACGAGAATATATGCAGATAGAACTGTAGCAAAAGTTGTGTAGACCGTAGGCACATAATCAAATAGTCGTGTCGAAAATCGCAACGCAATACAACTTGTTATCCACTACCAGATGTCCCACGGTCGCCAAACTTGTTGAGATAATGTCACGGACGCGACACCACGTTATCACACATAAACGCATCCCGTGGCAATTCGAACAGCTAGAATACACCGGCAAACATCGATACGTATGTTTATAAAGTGCTGTATGAATTTACAGCCACGTCAAAACGCTGTAAGCTTTACAACTTCAGATTTCTCTGGGAAACACTCATTATTTCCTGAACGCTCAAGCGCACGCGTAAATTGCCCACCAATCACTGAGTTTATTACATGTGACGTCGGGTCGGTCTGAATTTTAAAGTAGACTGCATTATCAGAACATAGTTCAATAAGCAGGATATTTGTGTTTTCGACGTTTTCATGTCATATCCAATACTTAATATCATAATTTGGTAAATACGTTACATTATGCTTAATATATTATATGCTTATAATATGTATAACAATATCCGTTGAATTGTGTACTGCAAAGGTACGCTATTGATCAATGTATTTCGAAGTCGGTGAAGACATAGCACATCTATGGTTCTGACGAGCTGCAAAAATACTTGAAAGCTTTTGATTGAAGTATTCAATGTGAGTTTCTCTAAATTTAGCACATTATCTTTGTTTTGTTTTTTATATAATGGACAAGAAATTACTAACGGTTGAAATTTCGCTAAAACTGACGACTCAAATCCAAAATAGGAAACCGATGTCAGTGACTTTAATTATTTATACCAAAGTTACTTGTAACCGTGATTATACTTGGTTTAATTTAACGTATAAAAACAATGATAACCGGATGTGATGTTGACAAAATGCTAGTTTATGAAGAGGGACTTTTTAGTGTTATAAGAGGGCACTCTAAGGTAGCATTGTTATTGTGACACATTTGGTGTTGACCATTCGCATTCTTAGGCACTATGTCCAGCACTGTCGATTACAAACAGCAACCCAACCAGTAGTATTGCCATATAGCTCACTGTTTTTCAAACAAAATAGAAATATTGATAGCTTAAATGTAACAGTTTGGAATGGTAAGCTGATATATTATTATTTTGTTACAAAAACAGAGAGCTATATTGCAATTCTGCTGGCTGGGTTGATTTTTCGTTCACAGTAATATATATTATTATCATTACATACATTATAGTGGGCGACTCAATACTGAAAAACATAGGCCGTAAAGGGCTATACAGAAATACACAGATAAAAACTCTTCGCGGAAAGACAATTAATGATGTGGATATATATTTACAAGGTACCACATCTGATGATATACAAGTAATTGTTATACATGTAGGAACAAACGACATAAGTGATGGGTGTTCTACAGAATCATGTATGGTTGACTTCTTAGATCTTGTAATACATGCTGAACAGAAATATCCAAATGCTAAAATATGTATATCATCAATCGTAAATAGAAGACAAAATACATACTTAAATGAAGAGATTGACAAATTAAATAAGGAACTGAAAACATTATGTTATAGGAAAAGTAATCTTATTTACATCGATAACGGAAATATAAGTCCAGAGCAGCTTCTTCTTGATGGAATTCTCAACATGTATGGAACTGCCAAACTTGTAAAAAAACATGAAAGATAAAGTAGCACCAATACTGGGAGTGAATAGATATCAGCAAACCAATGTTAAGAAGACCAGAGTCCCTATACCAAAAGAAAGACCAATATTGAGACAAGCATATATGTACAATCAGCATGGAATGAACCCAGGTACTACTCATCCAATATATACCCATCACAGTATTACACACAATATAGTCAAAGGCCAAAAGATAGCCATATTTAAGAATGAGTAGAATACAGAGAACGGCATTATCAATCCCCTACTGGAACGTTGAGGGCTTGGGTAATAACGTAGGTGACAATGATTTTATTAACAAAATTACTGAACATGACATCATTGGGCTTGGGGAAACCTGGCTTGATAACAGTACAAAGGATAAACTTCAAATTCCAGGATACTATACACAATCAATTATAAGACAATCTCAAAGAAGAGGAGGAATCTCAGTTATAATCAAACAAGAACTAAAAAAAGGAATAAAAATCATAACATGAATGAAGAAGACATAATATGGTGTAAACTAGAGAAAAGATTCTTCAATACCACAACTGATATCTATATTTGTTTTCTTTACAATCCTCATATTAACTCAACATATGCTAAACAAAATTTCTTTGATAATCTTGAAAAAAGATTACAGAGTATTCTAAATTGGGTGACATTATAATTCAAGGAGACTTTAACAGTAGAACTGGAATTTTGCCAGATTATATTGAAAATGATACCTCTAGATTCTTACCTTTACCAGATTCTTACAACATAGATGATAATGACCCACGTCATAATAAGGATATAACTGTCAACTCTTATGGAAACATGTTGATAAATTTATGTAAAAATTGTAATTTGAATATATTAAATGGGAGAATCCCTGGTGATTCAACAGAAAATTTTACATGTTTCCACTATAATGGGGTCAGTACAGTAGATTTTACCTTTTATTCAGACCATTGCCAAATTTCTTGTCTTCTTAAACTACCAGAACATTTATAATTAGATAATGACACAAACAACGAACAATTATACTGTCTACCCAAAACATGGAAATGGAATCTATTGTACACCTTCACATATCAAGATACATTGGTCTCAGACAGGGTACAACAAAAAATTAATTTATTTCTAGAGAGAAAATATGAAAAAAATAATGATGGAGTTTTAATGAAGCAGTTAAAACATTTAACTCAATAATAGATACATCAGCAACACCAATATTAAACAAATGTAAACCACAGTCAAAGAAAAGAAAGAAAAAGTGGTTTGATAAAGAATGTCAAACAATAAAAAATGATCTCATAAAAACAGCTAAGTTGCTGAGCAAGTTTCCATATGATAACAACCTTCGTGAGACATATTACAGTAAAAAGAAAAAATTCAAACGATTTATTAAAAAGAAAAAAAGAGAGAAACAAAATTTGTTATTAAACAAACTATCAAATCTCAAAAAAAAAAAAAAAAAAAAAAAAAAAGAATTTTGGAAAATTATAAATGCTATGAAAGATTCAAAAAAAGATGGCAACAACCCAATATCACCTGAGAAATAGTTACAATACTACAAAATTTTAAATGAAAATACCACTCAGAATAGTGACAACAACATACATACTAAAATAACAAATCTAGAATTATTCAATTTAATTACTAGATGCAGGTATATTTCCAGACATGTGGAATACCAGCATCATAACACACCTATATAAGAAAGGTGACAGTCATGATCCAAATAATTACAGAGGAATTTCTGTCTCCAGCAGTATCGGCAATGCAATCTGCTCCATCATAAACTCAAGACTTACACAATACTTAGAGGACAACAAAATTATCAACAATAATCAAGCAGGATTCAGAAAAAATCATTGCACAACAGACAAAGTATTTGTACTTTAATAAAACAATAATTGAAAAATATCTTGAAAAGAATAAAAAATTCTATTGTTGCTTTGTAGATTTTCAAAAAGCTTTTGATAATGTATGGAGAAATGGGCTA